GTAAAATGACAGCCAATTGTTTTGTCAAAAATATAGTCCTTAATATACTAATTCTGAGCATCGCCCCTTTTGACATCAAATCCTGGATCCGCACCTCTTCTTCTTCTTCCGGTAAGGAGTTGACCTCATACTTGAGGTCCAGGGCACACTGGCTAATCTGGCCCTGAACTCTTCAAGTGTTGCTGCAGCTGCTACTGTGTCTGGCAGTAGGTTCCAGTCTCTTATAGAGCGCGGGAAAAAGGAGTTGTTGTAAACTTCCTTTGTTGCTCTGATCTGTCTGATTCTATGGCCACCCCTTGTTCTGCTGTCCCCAGGTGTGTAGTAGATAGCTGGTTGTATCTCCACTAGTTGGTTCTGGATCTTGTAGCAAAGGCTTTTGAAAAGTCCAGTAGAATGATGTCTGTCTGGTGCCCCTGGTCCATGTGTTTTGCAATCTGGTTTATTGTTACAACTAATTGGGTCTCACAGGATTGGCGGCTTAATCCATGTTGCTCGTCACATAGAATGGGGTGTCGATCAAAGTGATCCATTACTGTGCTGTGTATAACATGTTCTAACAGTATGCATGATATAGATGTCAATGAGACAGGCCTGTAATTTGAGGGTTGGTGTTTCTCCCCTTTCTTGTAGATTGGCACGATGTTCGCTTTGCGCGATTCATCTGGAATCTTACCCTGGTCCAGGGAAAGCTGAAACATCCGGGTAAGATAAGAGCTAGTGATTCTGCTGCCTGTTGAAGAATATTAGCTGGAACTTCGTCTGTGCCTGTCGCTTTGAATGGTCGGAGTCCCTTTAGGAGTTTGTATACGCCTCTTTCATGAATGATGATATTGTCCATGATGGGATGTGAACTAGTACCTAGGTCAGGTAGCTGTCTCATTGGCAGTCATACCACATTAGCTTATTTTCATACTGAAGTGTGTGTCACAATATTTCTCCATTCAAGCTTGCCGAACGTTTTAAATATTTGAAATTGAACAGTCGAGAGCGGAGTGTCGTATTTCACGAGATCCGGTGATGGAATCTGTCTTTCTACATTTTTGTAGCCAACAGCAAACTTTATCACGCTCACCTGGCATGCCCTCCCCCCCCCCCCCCCCCCCCCCCCATAAAAAAAAATATAAGTAAAATGACAGCCAATTTTGTCAAAAATATAGTCCTTCATATACTAATTCTGAGCAGCGCCCCCTTTTGACATCAAATCCTGGATCCGCACCTCTTCTTCTTCTTCCGGTAAGGAGTTGACCTCATACTTGAGGTCCAGGGCACACTGGCTAATCTGGCCCTGAACTCTTCAAGTGTTGCTGCAGCTGCTACTGTGTCTGGCAGTAGGTTCCAGTCTCTTATAGAGCGCGGGAAAAAGGAGTTGTTGTAAACTTCCTTTGTTGCTCTGATCTGTCTGATTCTATGGCCACCCCTTGTTCTGCTGTCCCCAGGTGTGTAGTAGATAGCTGGTTGTATCTCCACTAGTTGGTTCTGGATCTTGTAGCAAAGGGCAAGTCGCTGGTTCATTCGTCTTTGCTGTAGGCCTAGGGTATCCCACTGGAGTTGGTCTTATAGTCCAGTGACTAGGGAAGTGTCCGTGTACTGGTTGTATACAAATCTTGCTGCTTTGCGCTGTACCCGTTCGAGGTCTTTGATCAGTGTGGTTTGATGGGGGTCCCACACTGTGGCAGCGTACTCGATCGATGGTCTGATCAGTGCACAATAGGCTGTGTTTTTGACAGATGGCTTACAATGGCCAAGGTTCCTGCGGAGAAAACCGAGGGTCCTGGTTGCTTTTCCGGTGGTGTAATGTATGTGTTTATTCCACTGTAGGTCTTGACTAATGGTAACTCCAAGGTATTTTCCGCTGTCAACAACTTCTAGTTGGTGTCCGTGCAAGGTGTAAGTGGTTTGCAGGGTGTGACGCTTGTTAGAGATCCTCATGACAGTGCATTTTTCTGGATGAAAACACATCTGCCACTTGTGTTCCCATTCTTCCAGGGCAGTGAGGTCTCTCTGGAGAGTTGCTGCATCATCAGGATTTCTAATTTTCCTGTAGACCTGTAGACCAGGCTATCGTCCGCAAACAATCTTACATCTGAAGATGTACAATCTGGCATGTCGTTGATATATGTCAGAAAAGGAGAGGACCTAAGACTGTCCCTTGTGGAACTCCAGATAGAACATCTAAAGGAGCAGATGTATGTCCTTCTAGGACAACTGACTGAGTTCTGCTGCTCAGGAAGTCCTTTATCCAGCTCTACGTTGTACCTTTTGACCCATAATGTGACATTTTCAAGAGCAAGCGTTGGTGTGGTACCTTGTCAAAGGCTTTTGAAAAGTCCAGTAGAATGATGTCTGTCTGGTGCCCCTGGTCCATGTTTTTTGCAATCTGGTTTATTGTTACAACTAATTGGGTCTCACAGGATTGGCGGCTTAATCCATGTTGCTCGTCACATAGAATGGGGTGTCGATCAAAGTGATCCATTACTGTGCTGTGTATAACATGTTCTAACAGTATGCATGATATAGATGTCAATGAGACAGGCCTGTAATTTGAGGGTTGGTGTTTCTCCCCTTTCTTGTAGATTGGCACGATGTTCGCTTTGCGCGATTCATCTGGAATCTTACCCTGGTCCAGGGAAAGCTGAAACATCCGGGTAAGATAAGAGCTAGTGATTCTGCTGCCTGTTGAAGAATATTAGCTGGAACTTCGTCTGTGCCTGTCGCTTTGAATGGTCGGAGTCCCTTTAGGAGTTTGTATACGCCTCTTTCATGAATGATGATATTGTCCATGATGGGATGTGAACTAGTACCTAGGTCAGGTAATGTACTGGTATCTTCTATGGTGTACACTGACTGGAATTGCTGGTTCAGTGTAGATGCCTTAGTATCTGTGTCACTATGGAGGAAGCCATCTTTTGACTTCAAGGTCACAATCTGGGATGCATCTTGTTTCCGGCTCTTCACAAATGACCAGAATCTGTTAGGGTTTTTCTCCAAGTCGCTGCTTACGACATCTTCCATGTAAGAACTGTGTGCTTGACTAGACTCCTTCTGTAGTTTCAGAGTTTTGTATCTCTTCATGTCACGCGTTTTACCACTGCTTTTTGCCAGGGTATAAGCCCTCTGCTTTTTATTACTTAGTCGTCTAAGATCTGAGTTCATCCATGGATGAGAATGTTTTGATAATGTGTTCCTGGTTGGTACGTGTTGGTTGATGGTATCTAAAATCAAGCCTTTTATATTGGTCCAAAGGCTGTTTATATCCTCAAAATCTGTATTCTGAAATATGTTGTATTCTTCTTTGAGGTGTTGATTTATCATGGTAATGTTAGCTTTTTTCCATAGATAAATTTTCTCTTTTGCTGGTTAGGTTTTTGTTAGCCGTGTGAAAAGTCAAGAAGAACTATATCATGGTCAATGTTCCCAAGAGGTGGTAGGGTTTTACATCTATTGAGTTGTCCTGGATGAGATGTAAACAGCACATCTAAGGTGTTGTCCCCCCTGGTTGGTTTGTCTACCATCTGTTGAATGTTAAGGTTGGCTGCATTAATAATGTCTCTTGATGTTTGAGTACCCTGTGTTGTGTAACTTTTCCAGTCGATGTCTGGTAAGTTGAAATCTCCACCAAGGATGAAAATACTACTTTTGTGTTTATTGCGTAGATCAGTGATGTCCTGTATTGCGTTGTTTGCCGTTTGTTGATCAAGTCTATTTGGTGGCCTATATAGACAAGTTATTATGGCTTTCTTTTTCTGGTCTATGTTGATGTTCCCAGATATGAGTTCAGTGTCTTTCCCCGACTTTAAGATGGCTAAGTCCAAGTGGTGTCTTTGCAGCTATGAGGACTCCTCCATGGGCGTTAGTATGGCGGTCCCTTCGTATGACATCATAAACAAGTTCTGGAGGGAAAATTCCACTTGTGTTGATTTTGTCGCTTAACCAAGTTTCCGTCCCTAAGATGATGTCTGAAAGGCATTCTCAATTGTTTTTTTCATAACATTAAATCCCGGGACCCTGTTATTGGTCCATTGCACGATCATACATTTAGGTGAAGGGAAGATAAAAAAAATACAAAAACGCAGATTAAAACTATGCAGTATAAAATCACTGTTTGCGCATCAACCTATCGTGTCAAAATAATGTGATAATGTAAGGCATTCATACGACAATTGTGAACAAAAAATGCGAACAAACATTTTCGATGGCAAGAAATTAAATTACAAATTGTAATTACTTTGCTCTAAAATCTATAACAAGCTTTAAAGTTTGCTTCGTATGACGACTTAATGTATGCAAATAGATAAAACCTAGATAAAAACTTTATATGAGACAGAAATGCCCACTTACAATTTTCCATATGCACTAATTCTGGATTTGAATACTAACTCTTACTTCCCTCTGGAATTATATTTTAAGACTTCAGGGATCAAAAAAATTATTGTGTTGATAATTTTTTTGATTTATTTATTTTACTATGTGGCAAGCAAGATAAACACTACAATTTGGCAAATTTGAAAAAAAAAACAATCCTTTTTCAGTATACATCCTTGGCATTCAAATATTCAGCTTTGAGCGTTCCTGTTGAAGGTAAATCCATAAAAAGCGCTTCGGACGCATGAAATTTATAACGTGTTGTCAGTTCCCTAGGGTATCATCAGCTTAGTATTCAGTACTTCAATACTGACATGATTTATAAAAAAAACTTTCTAAAATTGTCCGTTTATAATTTTTGAAATTATAAAGAAACTACGGTTTCAACTCCCTCAGCCAAAGTTGACCTTTGATGGATTTGGCTATTTTTATGTCCCTTTTGGTCATTTAGCCCTTCAACTGTTTCGGTTCTTATACATCTTGGCTCAAATATTCGGCTTTGAGCGTTCCTGGTGAAAATAAATCAAGAAAAGTTCTTCGGACGCATGAAATTTTTAACGTGTTGTTTTCATTTTTAGAGCAATTTGTTCGACCAGATTATGCCTTGAAATTGAGTATTCTTATCATTATCATTTCAGATTTGGCATGCCGTTTACATGATCTTAGTAATGATTTCTATATTGTCATTCTTTTGTGCCACTTTGGAAGAGTGTCGTGTCTCACTCGAAGAGTCTATATACCGATTTGGATGCTGCACAAACGAGACACAGGAACTTGCAAGTGACGAGATTCCTAAAATTAAAAAATTGTTGAATACAGTGCCACATCCGGTGTTACAGATTATCGAATTGGCTTGTCTGATTTTCTTTACAGTGGAATTTGTGTTCCGATTTGTGGTATGTCCATGGAAATTAAGACTCTTAAAGAACTTTACAACGCTGATAGATATGCTTTATATTTTGCCTGCATGGATGGTTTTATTCGTAGAAATAACACATGGAACGTTTTGGCATACGAAAAACGGCGTCACACTGTTTATAATTATAGAGGCGATCGAAATTTTTCGAGTGTTAAGAATATTCCGCTTCATCAAGCACCACCAAGGACTGCGGATACTCTATCTTGCAATTAAGAGTAGTGTTCCAGAACTTTCACTTCTTCTTGTGTTTGTGGTTTTTAACACTACTATCTTCGCTAGCTTTATATATTGCGCCGAAGCTTTTACACCTGATAATTTTGAAAATGCTTTTCACGGTATGTGGTGGGCTTTGATAACCATGACAACGGTAGGGTACGGAGATATGTTCCCAAAGTCGTGGCTTGGTTATATTGTAGGCAGTTTTTGTGCTGTATTGGGGATAATTATGATACAAATGCCCGTACCGATAATTGTTAGCAACTTTCATGCTTACTATCGCCTGAGATTTTCCACTGACGTTAACGAAACGAACGTAGATACTTCAAATTTAGAGCTACCAAAGCCAGTACTACCATCATCTGAAGAAGAATATAACAGTCAAACAAGTATTCCAGGACCTTCAGTGAAAAGTTCTGAAGTTTCAGCAAGCTCTCCAGAAAGCAGATCTAGTTCGCCAGAACCTCCTCCACGAAACCGAATGCGAATACCGCCAATAAACAAAGTGAGTATTGTTGTTTCAAAAGACTACCTGGGATCAGATATAGAGGAATGTATATAATATATATTGATGTTGTTTGTTACGATTAAATGAATTATATAATGTTGTCAGTACATGCATACATGGCATGCTGTAACTAAATTTTATGCAAAGAATATATTATTTGTTTAACAAATTTTTATGTGATGCTGTGAAGATTTTATTTAGCTGTAGCAATGCTGTGGTAAATTTAGAATGATGTGTGTGTGTGTGTGTTTGTTTGTTATATTTATTTACACAAACATCTAAAATAATGTTATTGCTTTGACAGAACGAAAGTATATTATGAGGTCAGATTTGTATTATATATAAATGAACCTAAACTATGTGTTTTTAAATGCCTTAAACCAAAATACAAAAAAAAAAACAACAGTGCAGAGGAATAATGAATCCTTGATTAATACACGTAAGTATATTTAAGACAAAACGAAGAATCAAGGGGTGGGTGGGGTGGGAGGGTTGATCTCTAAAAGCCATAAGTCGAAGGAGAGACAACACAATGTCGAAAAGAGAAAAGACGATATGATAGTGTAAAAATAAGTAGATGTTGTATGATTGCCATAGAAACAAATATCATACAGAGTACACATGACGTTGATGTAATGTAAGTAACTATAGGTCTCTATACTGCGTTCAACAATGAGCAATACCAATATTGCATAGTATAAGCCATAAAAGCCCCTGACACGACAAAATGGAAAATAATTCAAAAGAGAAAACAAACGGCCAATCTGATTGAAATTCAGATCTATCGTTACCTTTTGAATGTCCCTTTGGTATTTTTCTCCTCTCTTACTCGCTTACTCGTCGATTACTCGCTTACTCGTCGATTACTCGCTTACTCGTCAAAGCTGAGCATAACGAAATCATAGATCTATATTATAATTAGATTGACTATCAGCCTGATTTATGAACAAAACAAGAACGAAAAACGATAGGCAACAACTAAGAACAACATCTGATTTACAGGTTTTACTTGGAACAGACACAAGAATGTGTAGGGATTAGTAATACATGTTTGCCTCTGCTGGAAGATTGGTGTAATAGCACAACATAAAAACAAACTCAAAAAGGCTCGACTCATCAGCTCAACACAAAATACATATCAAAGAATTCTCGCAGTACTTGAAGCTGGTTCAAAGCCAATTACAATTAACAAATAAATCATGTTTCCCAAACTAAAATATCATCAGTACACATCCAATAATAAACGTCTTTACACTAAATCTATTGGATGTGTACTGATGATATTTTAGTTTGGGAAACATGAGAAAAACATGTCCCTTCTGCAATAAAAATATATAAGTATCAACAGATTGTAGTAGGTCCATAAAACCCTATGATTGGGAAACACGAACAACACCACACACCTGGGTGAACTCGAGTACTTAAAAAAAAATTGCACTATCTTGTTGCTAGTGCAAATTAGAAATCTGAAACAAGTCGCATTCGGTGATTGAAATAAAAAAACTAGGAAATGGGCCGAATAAGTGACTACGACAAATGAAATGATGCAATTAGACCAAGTTCATCAACGCCAGATTAGAAATGGACAACATTAAAATCTTACCTACTCAACTGTTTACTGATCAATAGATTACGTACAACTACTAATAATAATATATAAGTTCAAATTTATATAGCGCACAAAACTGGAACGCTGAAAATATTTCTTTATAAAGCTTTCAACAAATTTAAGGTATGCTGCTGGATCAGAGTATTATTAAGTATTACCTGAAGCAAGTTTTTTTCCATTGGTGGAATTAATACTGGTTCACTGCAATGAAGAGTCTAGGGTTAGCAGTTTTCGAATCTTGTTCAGTATGATGTGTGCACAAAAATTGTTGAACCAATTAGGATAGGGTTTTGAAGTACTTGTCATGAATTTAATTGATTGTTTGTATATTGGAAAGGCTTTTCTGTATGAAATTGTTTGTTTAAAAACTACCTGTGTTTTTTTCTAAACCGATTCTTGTTTCATCACGCGTCTGTGCTTTTCATTATGAATCAAAACCAAAAATCAATATGAAATATGAAATATGAGATGTAAATCTCTTGGCAATGTACATACGATTTTGAATGCATGTTCATATAAATAAGAGGATGTGGTATGAGTGCCAATGAGATATCACTCCATCCAAGTCACAATGTATAAAAGTTAACAATTATAGTTCAAAGTACGACCTTCAACACGGAACCTTGGCTCACGGTGATATCTCATTGGCACTCATACCACATCCTCTTATTTATATGAACATGCATTCAAAATCGTATGTACATTGCTAAGAGATAATGACAACTTACAAAGCTCAAAACGAATGGAATGACCTCTTGAAATAACGATGTTTATATTAGCAGTTATATGTCTATAATTGGATTGAATATGTTAACAACAAACCTTTCTTGTGTTTTGTCCTCCTTGACTATCTTAATTCCCGGTACACCGGTTTCAATCTACAGTACACCACCGACAATGTCCGGTGTACAGGGAGGAAATAAGATCATTTGTTATAAATGTCGAGTTAAAAAGACTTTAAATATTAGTAGGCAAATCACATCCAAAGGTCATCAAAGGCCTTCAGCAATGGATAAAGACTCATACAATAAGGCAATCTTCAAAAGTTCCTTGATAAACCAAACTAGAAAAATCTACACAGAACCCCATTTTCTTCATAATTGTCACTAACATGGAACTTGCCATACATGACAAATGCCGAACTGCAGAATTGTGTCTTCCGTAAACGTATCTTACGTTTGTAACAGGATCAAACAATGCTCAAACAGCTGCATATACGAAACTACAGAAGTTAACGTCAGAGACAGGTGAAAATCGGTTACAAATGGTGGCATGAAAACAGCGTAAATGTTTAATGGCTATCTCTAGCGTAGTTGAAACGTCAATTATTAACATATACACTGTATGTGTTTAGGGGTAACATAGGCTCTGAGCTCCAGCCTAATTTTATCATATTTGAGCAATGTTGTTTGGCACCGGACTCCAATAAAAAAGCATCGGGGTCCACTGATAAGGATACGTGGTCTGAAGGTAGTAGTCCGTCCCAAAGGAAATGTGGAGCCATGCAGTGTTATTACCCTTATGAGGGTACTTTTTTCAGATAATGTGTATTTTTGCGTCTTAGTCATACATGTAACGTATCAAACCTGTATTCTTATAAGAACATGTTATAAATTAGCATCTAGTAGATAAGTAGTATGTAAGATTTACATAGCCCTTGAACTCTAACCATGCTTTCACAAAAAAAAATTAAATCTTAAGAAATATTTGAATGCAACTGAAAATTCATAATCCCGAGAGGAAAATTAAAATGATATCAAATGAAAAAGTATATATCGGTACACACAAAGTATTAGTCCAGGATAAAACCCGAGTGGTTTGGCAAATAACACCTAATCAGATAACAGGAATTATTACATTGGTTGCAATGAATTACATTGATTTCCCAGTCAAATAAAAACCGATAATTTCACATGTGAAATAAACGTGGTTATTTCACTCTCTGACGTCATACAACAATACGCGCATTCGTGAATTAATGTGTTGAACAGACAACATTATGCAGTCAACACAACACTACATATAACACAAAACATTGAGAAACATAAAACCTACAAAAACAACAGTGGATGCAGTTGCTCCGGAAAAGGTAAGCAGTACCTCGACCACAAGTAGCATGCGTCGTGTTGCTCAAGGCAAGTAAACTTCCGTATAGATAAGGTAGGTAATGTGTTACAAACGAGGAAACGATGACAGGACTGGGGCTACGACAAAAGGAGCATACCCGTTGAAATGAGTGACACATATATTTCATTACTGGTATCCTAAATCACGGTGGTGTCTATAAAATTTTCGATGAGATGACTTCAACTCTACAATTAAGAGCCCTTTGATCAAAAGCTTCCTTGTAAGCTGCAACCCTCTATGAGGGTCTGGATGGGGTCTTTCATTTCTGTATTCTTTAATTTTGGAGGCCATATTACTTTATTCTTTATACTTTTTGCCCATTATTCTCTATTATTTATATTTTAGAACCTCATTATTCTCTATTCTTTATTTTTTGGTCCATTTTTCTCTATTCTTTATATTTTTTGCCCATTATTTTCTATTCTGTAAACCCCCATCCACACCAATATAAATAAAATAATGACAGGAAGACAACTGCCAAATTTGTACTCCACATGCAACAGGGATGTTGGAACGAGTACATTATAAAGCCCATAAGCCATCTAGTATATCGTTGACGACAAGATATACTATCTCTTACATTGAATTCGTCATTATCCATGATTGCTGTGCATGTATGTACCCTGTGCCGTATAAAACATTAAATCCACTATACACTAACAGAACAATATTTTTTTTGTAATAAATTGCGAATGAAAGGAGAAGTGACTTATACGTAAAATAGACAGCAACCCAATAACAAAATGTTAACATATGAGCTGCGTCGGATAGAAATCGACCTTTTGCAAATGAATATCAAAACATCTGTTTTCCTATTTTGGGTTAAAAAAAATCCCTGTTCAAAGTCTATAACGGTTTGAAAATTGAGATGATATAAGAACCCTATAAAAACAAAAACAAAATTCATCGTTTATTTTGTATTTGAATGATCCAAAATCAATTAAAGTCTTTTATCGCTATTTTACGAAACTTTCCTTTGATCTTACTGACTTCTTATTATAGATTATCGTTGATCATCTCAACGAGATTGATTTTCTCGCTTGAGCCGGTACGGCGAAAGTGAGAAAAGCAATCGAGTTGAGATGACCAATGATAATCTGTTTATCGCTATTTTACCTGTGACGATCTTGTTAATTTCATTGACAACGGGCACGTGCATCCTTAGTTTCTAGCGATAATTTTTCATATTATTCGACTCCGCTGAGAAAGAAAATTATCAGTCAGCAAGATCAAAGGAAAATTTCGTAAAATAGCTATAATTTCCTTTCTCAGCACAGTAGAGTGATATGAAAAATTATCGCTAGAAACTAAGGGCGAACGTGCTCGTTGTCAGTGACATTAACAACGTCGTCATAGGTAAAATAGCGATAAACAGATTATCATTGGTCATTTCAACTCGATTGCTTTTCTCACTTTCGCCGTACCGGCTCAAGCGAGAAAATCAATCTCGTTGAGATGTTCAACGATAATCTATATATACATGTACATGTATACGTGCACTTGCATAAGGTCGATTTGTATCCGACGCAGCTCATAGGTTTTGTTATCAATAGATAGGTGTCTATAAAATATGTGACCAACAATTTCAAATGGCCAACTTTAAAGTGGCAATTTAAAATTTTCGTAAAATCTGTGTAATGCAAAAAGGTGTATTTCCTATGTTAAAGGCAACATAACAAGACAGACGATTGCATAACACGGACAGATAATAAACCAAAGACAAAAGTAGTTTATCATTTTTAAAATCTCGTAAATCAATCTAAATCATACACACATATTAAAGTAAAAAAAAAAACCCTGAGGGAATCGTATGAACTTCAAACGGAGCGAGCCTAGGCGAGTCGACATGGTTAGCGTTTCCTGTTATGCATATTCATCACGCGCCATGGTAATCCAAACTCTTAAAATCTACTACCGCGAAAACATGTCGCTTGAAAGGTGAGACACATACACATCGTATCGATCAACCAATTCGTGATGTTGACCGTAAAACTAGCTAACGAAATATCGATTTAAATCTTTCTACTTCATAACCCGCATGGAGATGCAAGGTGACCCTAGAATGAGCAATATTGAAATTATGATATATTTTAGGTAACCCGTGGTAAGTTTTAGTCGCACCAAAAGGGATAAGTGTTTTGACCCTTGATGCAAATGATTTTCAATATCACATTTGTATCAACCCGAGGAACCAAAATAATCCCAAGAGCTCTATGTAAAAAGCTTGACTCATCAGATTGACACGAAGAGAAAAAAAAACAACAATAGCGCAAAGCTGCCAAAAGATACAACGTACCGATCGATTAAATGAAGCTTGCTCAAAGCCAATACCAGCTAATGAATACATCAAGTTCTTCCAGGCTAATGTATTGCTAACCAAAACTTGTTGAAGTGGCCTTTTATAAAAAAAAATGTGTCATTATTTGCTGTTTAAAACATGTAAAAATTAATTCAAAATTTACGTTTCAATGGAGTTTCACAAAAAATGTGTTACAGTAGAAGTTATATACCTATATATCTATGACGAATATCTGTGTTGTGCTGTGATATTTTTAAAAATTATTTTCTTTTCCTCAACTTAAACATTTGTTAAAATACCGGTTATTTAAATTTAAATCTTAAATTAAAGTTTGAAATAGAAGTGCAAAAATTAGGACACCAAAGGCCGTCATCACTCATCCTGTCCTTTCACCGGATTTAATTATGATTTCACTGATTAATATCTTAGCTTGTTAAAAATGTTATCTAAAGTTTAGCATTTGTTTGATCTCAAAAGGAACCAAAACAAATATTATTTGTAATATTAAGACCAAATATATCCTGATTCACCGTACAAGGGTGTGCGATTTGCTGAATCATAGGGAATCCCCTTACTTGCATATTATATTTCAGTACACTTGACACAATATGATATATATACTTATGATTTTACACCGATTATAATTCTACGGTTAATCATAACTTGCAACAGAGAAATTTAATGGCTTAAAGATAGAATCAAAAGTGTATGTGAATGTGTGTAGCACATAAGATTTTGCAATGAATTTATGTGGAATAGAAATAATTTACAGTTTGATATTTCTACTTTCGGTACACAAATCAAATATCGGTAAGTTATTAATATTTATGTGTAAACATGGTAAAGCTCTTGATTAATATGTGAGATTAAAGTTCAACTTGTCGATGAATGATGCAAAAATCACTAAAGCAGCACTTAAATATAGACAGATACTGCATGCATATTAAAAACGATAAAACATTAAAACACGTAATTATTCTTAAAATGGATTTTAGCTTTACGCATGCCATGGGCAAAATCTCTTTGTTTTTAATGTGCAATAATCTGGATAATGCACAGCTGTTCTACGATGTGCATTATTTAACTCAGATATACTGCACAGTTCAAATCTGCTCTCAAAATTTCCGTCACTATCCTCATTTTCCGGATGGCCTCTATTACAGAACCTACCTTTTGTATGTTTTGTTAATTTGTCCTCGTCCTGATTATAGATGAAATAGTTGCCACTGGACGTTAATCAACCAATCAATCAATCCACGTGAAGAATATGTTTATTATTAGCACCTTTTTTTAAAAAAATGAAATTGACCAGGAATACTAGTAAATATATAGAGGCAAACTTTAATTTTGCCTTATTTTAAACATAGTTGCAAAGATTCTAGTACAAGTATCTAAGACCCCCGTAATATCTACCAAGCCAATACATTCATCATAGATACATGAGATACTAATATTCAAATTTTGTACGCCAGACGCACGTTACGTATACACAAGACTCATCAGTGGAGCTCCAATAAAATAAAAAGTTAAAAGGGCCAAGTAAAAAGAAGATGGGCCAACTTGCCTTGAATGTAGTCCATACCAGGGTTATTTTCAAACGTCTTTGATTCTTTACTTAAAATAAGTATCAGCGCTCTGTGTGTGCATTTTAAGGCTCTTACAGTAATATGGCTTATTTCAAAACCGATCACAAAACAATCAACGCCTGAAAAAAGGTCAAAACCGCAATTTTGACAAATTGAGTATTAATCCAAAAAATGTTTTACTTAAAGCTTAACCTCAACAAGAATTGTATTGAAAAGTGAAATAACAAAAATAGAATTCCATTATATTGACAACGATGAGTGAGCAAAACAAACAGACATAATAGATGAAAATGTCAAAAATTGGGGTACAGCAGTCAACTTTGCGTTATAATCTTAATCACTATAAAAACAAATAAATATTTCAACAAAGAAAAACAAAATCGCATACAGAAAGGAGAACTATTTATCCTGCAATCATCCAACTATTGTACAAATAACAAATTGTTGCTTAATTTGTATAGGAAATAGTCTCCGTTTATCCTGCTTCTATTTTGAGCTGACGGTTATGTTAAGGATTACCCGAAGGTCCGTGGTTCTCTTCCGGCACTCCGACTTCCTCAATCAATATAAACTGACCGCCGTGATATAGCCTGTAGTGTTGAAAGTGGCGTTAAACACCAGCACTCAGTCAATGTTAAGGATTACCCGAAGGTCGGTGGTTCTCTCCCGGCACTCCGACTTCCTCAATCAATATAAACTGACCGCCGTGATATAGCCTGTAGTGTTGAAAGTGGCGTTAAACACCAGCACTCAGTCAATGTTACGGATTACCCGAAGGTCGGTGGTTCTCTCCCGGCACTCCGACTTCCTCAATCAATATAAACTGACCGCCGTGATATAGCCTGTAGTGTTGAAAGTGGCGTTAAACACCAACAATCAATCAATGTTAAGGATTACCCGAAGGTCGTTGGTTCTCTCCCGGTACTCTGTCTTCCTCCACCAATACAAACTGACCGCCGTGATATACCTTATAGTGCTGAAAGTGGCGTTAAACACAAACAATCAATCAGTGTTAAGGATTACTGGTTACGTTACAGTTCATTTCGCTGTCCTTTTCGTGGTCTGCGTTTAAGCCATGTCGATTTCTATAAAAATCAGACAATGGTAGCTTATCACTTTACAAAATTAAACGTTAAGGTTAAATCAAAAGATACAAATACATATAGCAGCACATATGCTTCTTTATAGCAAATATTTCGGTTATTGTAAGCTTTCTTTCATATGGTTATGTAAACTCTGCCATGTAATTGCAACCAATACTTATAAGAGGCGATACGTTTTAATGAATGGCCAAATCTGATTTTAGATGCAGTTACCTGCAACGAGTCATTGACTTCTAATCTGAGAGATGACCAGTTTACTGCCTCATCTGTATACAGTGCGGATTATAATGCAAGCTCTGCAAAATTTAATGAAGGTAAGTGAACACAACACCAACGAGGTGTAACCAAAGTAACAGGTGCCACATGTGATGAAGGTAAGTGTAAATAACGCAAACATTGTAATATTCGATGGAGCTAAGTGTTACCAACGCAGTCAGTGTAACATTCGATAAAAGTAAGTTAGACCAACACAAGCACTGCATCATTCTAATACTAACAGCGTGACATTCGATAAAGGTAAGTGTAACAAATACTAACAGCGTGACATTCGATAAAGATAAGTGTAGCCAATACTAACAGCGTGACATTCGATGAAGGTAAGTGTAGCCAATACTAACAGCGTGACATTCGATAAAGATAAGTGTAGCCAATACTAACAGCGTGACATTCGATGAAGATAAGTGTAGCCAATACTAACAGCGTGACATTCGATGAAGATAAGTTTAGCCTATACTAACAGCGTGACATTCGATGAAGGTTAGTGTAGCCAAAACTAACAGCGTGACATTCGATGAAGGTAAGTGTAGCCAATACTAACAGCGTGACATTTGATGAAGATAATTGTAGCCAATACTAACAGCGTGACATTCGATGAAGATAAGTTTAGCCTATACTAACAGCGTGACATTCGATGAAGGTTAGTGTAGCCAATACTAACAGCGTGACATTCGATGAAGGTAAGTGTAGCCAATACTAACAGCGTGACATTCGATGAAGATAAGTGTAGCCAATACTAACAGCATGACATTCAATGAAGGTAGTTGTAGCCAATACTAACAGCGTGACATTCGATGAAGGTAAGTGTAGTCAATACTAACAGCGTGACATTCGATGAAGGTAAGTGTAGCCAATACTAACAGCGTGACATTCGATGAAGGTAAGTGTAGCCAATACTAACAGCGTGAAAGTCGATGAAGGTGAGTGTAACCAATACTAACATCGTGACATTCGATGAAGGTGAGTGTAACCAATACTAACATCGTGACATTCGATGAAGGTGAGTGTAACTAATACTAACATCGTGACATTCGATGAAGGTGAGTGTAGCCAATACTAACAGCGTGAAATTCGATGAAGGTGAGTGTAGCCAATACTAACAGGAGCATCATTCGAGGAAAGTAAGTGTAACCAACGTATTATGTGCGACATGTGACGAAGGTAATCGTAACTAACGCAAACAGTGTAATATTCGATGGAGCTAAGTGTAATATTCGATGGAGCTAAGTGTTAGCAATGCAATCAGTGTAACATTCGATGAAAGTAAGTTAAACAAACGAAAAAACTGCATTATTCTAACACGAACAGCGTGACATTCGATGAAGGTAAGTATAGCCAATACTAACAGCGTGACATTCGATGAAGGTAAGTGTAGCCAATACTAACAGCGTGACATTCGATGAAGATAAGTGTAGCCAATACTAACAGCGTGACATTCGATGAAGGTTAGTGTAGCCAATACTTACAGCGTGACATTCGATGAAAGTGAGTGTAGCCTTAGTATACTAACAGCGTGACATTCGATGAAGGTAAGTTTAGCCAATACTAACAGCGTGACATTCGATGAAGGTAAGTGTAGCCAATACTAAGAGCGTGACATTCGATGAAGGTGAGTGTAGCCTATACTAACAGTGTGACATTCGATGAAGGTAAGTGTAGCCAATACTAACAGCGTGAAATTCGATGAAGGTTAGTGTAGCTAATACTAACAGCGTGAAATTCGATGAAGGTTAGTGTAGCCAATACTAACAGCGTGAAATTCGATGAAGGTGAGTGTAGCCTATACTAACAGCGTGAAATTCGATGAAGGTGAGTGTAGCCTATTCTAACAGCGTGACATTCGATGAAGGTAAGTGTAGTCAATACTAACAGCGTGGACACTTTTTTTAATCTTAAAGTATTTTGGTAAAAATTAATGGATTTTTTTTTTTAACATAATAATTTTATTCATCAAATATTGCCTGTTACATAAACCATCAAGATTCCAAGCTTCTCTTGACGTACCCTGTTACAATCCACTGACTACCCAGTGAGTAATCAGCTGATTAGATTAATTGACATACATTTTGTATACAAAACACTATAATAACAATATTAGAAAATTATTCATTGATTATGTTCCTTTTAATTGTTAGTAACATTGGACTGATTGCCTTATGTCCATTAACATTGGTTTCTACTCTCTTGGTGTATTCATTGACAAAAATTCTGTAGACGTCTATTTTTTTTTGTTTTCTGCTCAGATACATGGTATGACTTTTATATTGAAAAACTAATTATTGAGTAATACTTGTTGTCTGCGATTTTGTATCCAAATATCAGGTGTTGTAGTTTTATTAAAAAATCTAAATTACTCCTTTTTAAGAGGTCGTATATTTGTTGCTTAAATCTTGTCAAATAAGAACAATCGAAGAAATGATGAGAATAGTCTTCTTCTATGTTACAAAAATTACACATATTATTATTCGTTATTTTCCATTGTAATAAAAGCTTTTTTGTTGGTACAATAAACTGTAGTAATTTCCATCTGTATATTTTTAATTTATTTTCAGTTAAATATTTGAAAATAAAGTTATATAATGAATTCATATCTGGAGCTTCTTGCACTGGTAGAATTTTAAGCCACCTACTTATCACTACTGACGATTCTTTTTTATTATTCACTAGCGAATCATAAAACATTTTATTTGAAAAACATGTAGTCTCAAAATAACGACCTTTCCATGTGATTTTATTTCTCTGGACATTTACTGTACTTTGAACAGAATTTTCTTGTTTAACTATGTCAATCCAATTTTGTGGAATAGATTGTTTCAATTTATGAAATTCAGCAATCCAGTTTACCTTACATACAATTTGTTTAAAATATTTTTTTTTGATAATGACATAGTGGCATCTAGAATGTCATTTAAATATATTATATCACTCTTAATCCAGTTTTCAAAGATAATTGGTTTATTATGAAATGTAACAAATTTATTCCCCCATATTGTTTGCTTTCTTATATCAACATATGTAACTGGTTGATCTGTTTGCCCACCCCCAGTCAAAATCCAGGACTTTATTACTACTCGATAAAATTCTGGCACACATTTAAAATATTCTAAATGTTTTATATCATCTAAATTCATATTAAATATAGATAAAATATTATTAGACACCTAGATATTTAAAAGGTATATTAAAAGATAAATTAATGGATTTTAGCTGTTGTTCTATTGACGTATACCTTGCATCAATCTCTTTGTTTTTATATAAATGTACATGCAAATGTATTTATAATTTATTTTACAGGAGGTTGGGTCGCTAGTGAAAATAATGCCTATCAGTATCTACAGATTGATTTAGAAGGACTCTGTGAGATAACAAGCATTATAACACAGGATATTGACAAGTGGTGGTACTGGTACGCCACACAAGCTTTCAGGTATTATTTTTTCTATTCACTGTCATTTTGACAGTCATAGGAGAAAGAATTAGAAGTTTTAACTAACGGAAAAAAATTAGTAAGCAAAAATAAATCACTGCACTTAATATGAATACCAGTACTGAAAAATAAATATCGTATATAATATATTTTGGTACATCAAAATTACATATGAAATATCTTTCTTTAAAATCTATATTTTAAACAATTTCCTAATATCCTGTTCAAGTTTTAGTCACTCACCTATAAATATTTATTCCAGAAGCGGATTTAAGGTTAATGCGTGAACTTTTTACTTGATCCACTCCTAGTTTTGCCTAGTTTAGGGCTCCCCCTTTTCAATATCCTAGTTCCGCATCTGTAGTCTGTAAAGGTGCGTTCGTTAAAAAAACAACGCAGAATTCATAGGCAGTGATGTTATCAATTAAGTGAAATTGTTGACAAGAGAGTTCCGGGATAGCTGTATGGTTTGGATGTGGTCTACATAATAGTGAATATAGGACAAAAAAGGCAGACTAAAGAGCAAAAATAAGAGTAGAGAAAACAAAAGGAAAAAAATAAACAATAGAGAATAATTAGGTGGTAAAATATAAAGAGTAGAGAATATTGGTTAAAAAATATACAAAGAATATAGAAAAAATACCTAAGAATACAGAAATGAAGGTCACCCCATCCAGACCCTCAGTCATAGTACGTGACATTTGTCTATGTACTTGTGTATTTACAGGTATCTTATTATGGATTTATGATTTTATATCCATTTCAGACTATTTCTTTTGAACCTTTTTCAACCCATCCGCCCCTAATCCCGATTATATGTTATACCGGTACCCAATTTATAAACATCCCCGGGCTAATAAATGTTTACTATTGTGTGTATATGGTTTTTTTTTGGTATTCATTATGTTCATATTGTTGCCTTAGATGTTGCTTTTCCTTCTTATTTTTTCTACGGATGACATAAAGTGTGGTTTTAATTATTACAAAACTGGGTCGATACTGGTTCGATTCTGACAAACCTTTCTAAACTTGTCCATTTATAAATTTTGAAATTATTAAGAAAATAAGATTTCAACTCATTTCTGCAAAAATAAACTTAGATGGATTTGGCTATTATTTTAATGTACTTTTTGGTCGTGAAGCTCTGCAACTGTTTCGGATCTTATAAATCATTGGCTTTTAAATATTCGGCTTTGAGTGTTTCCGATGAAGGTAAATCAAGAATAGCACTTTGGACGCACACGATTTTTAAAGTTTTGTTTTCATTTTTTAGTTTTAATCAGGTTTTAATTAATTGATACTATGCTTGAGAACAATCATAAATTTTTCCTTCAGAATATTTCACAGCAAAGATGGATTAACATGGACTGCATACAATACGTACTTGTCAGATGAAATACTTGGCGAAACATTCAACAGACAGGACAAGGTCACAACGATCCAGTTTAATCCGACGATAAAGGTTATTTATTTTTTATAATAATAACATGTGGAACATGATCTGCTTACCCTTCCGGAGCAAGCACCCATAGTTTTGTTTAAAAAGAGTTTATGTGGTGCTCTTGTTTTAGTTTTCAGCGTTTTACTTTATGCCTTTTAATTATTTTTGTCATTGAATATTTTGTTTTAACCAAGAACAGTCTGACCTTACCTTTGTTTTGAAAAATAGTGTTTCAATTTCGAAATTTCGAATTCGGTCAAGTTTAAGGGTTTAAAAATTTACGTGACCTATTGTTTACGAATTTGGTGATGTCTTGGGGTTCTCTTCTTCAAACCAGATCCTTAAAATTTGGGCAAATAAGCCCACAACGTACCGTATTATTTGTAAATTGATTTAAAATCAATCAGCAACAAAAAAAAGGGGACAAACACACACACGGAAGAAATAGTAAATTTCTTGTTGTTTCCCATTGACAGCTTCATGAATCTGAATGCAAAAGAAATGAACAAATATCTATACATAAATATCATAAATACCTAATCAAAAAAAAAAAGATATGGTATGATTGGCTATTACAGGTACAGCTAAACTTCCAACCAAATATTTGCATCTCCGAAAGAATTTAGTATAAGATAAAGGTAATTTGTAGTACCGGAAACCTTGACTGAAAAACGTCACTGTAGACACGGGCACAACAATCGAGTTATGGAAATATACACACCGTTTAAAGCACCGTTCCAAAAAGTTAACAATAGGAACGAAAAATGGTCAACTTTATCGATAATTGGTAAACTTTCCATTACAACAATTATCTATAAATGAGTAAGACTGTTAAAACTACTATTTCCGTGCAACACCGAGAAAAGTACAAGCTGTTTACATGAGAATAGTTGCTCGACAGCATGTGAAATATATAATGCATATCTTTTATTACAGACTCGATTTATCGTATTTAATCCTGTTAAATACAACTGGCGCCCGTCAATGCGCGTGGAACTTTATGGATGTAAACAAAATGATGTGGCATCGAACAATATTTCAACAATAATAGGAACTAATATCGAGGTAAACTATGTTATTTTTGAACAATTATACTAATTATTTGTCAAAATTGCGACTTTGAGCTATCTATTATAATTTATTATTTGATTATCTATTTAGAGGTATGGCAAAATATTGTTAAAACAAAATTACTCTTTTGTTCCAAAAAAAAATAATGTTGATGGAAGTCACTATTCTCTATATTGTCCTCTATTGGTTTGATCAGCTCTTCAACGTTTGTATTTTAATCTAGACTTTCTGTATTTATGTGCCTGTCCCAAGTCAGGACCCTGTAATTCAGTGATTGTCGTTTGTTGCTGTGTTACATATTTGTTTTTCATTCACTTTTTTTACATTAATTGAGCCGTTAGTTTTCTCGTTTGAATTGTTTTACATTTGTCATTTCGTATGGCAAGCCGTTTTACTATTTATTCGAATTTCAAGATATCTCATATCTCATATAAGATATCTTATATAATATATAAGATATCTCATTTAATATATAAGATATCTTATATAATTTAATTTTTATAAGATATCTTATATATTATATGAGATATCTTATATATTATATAAGATAACTTATATATATTATATAAGATATCTCATATAGTTTATCAGATATCTTATATACTTTATAATACATCTTCTAAAATTTATAAGATATCTTATAAAGTATATGAGATATCTTATACACATTTTTTATATAAGATATCTTATATACTTTATAAGATATCTTATACAGTTTATAAGATATCTTATCTTACCTCCTATAGATTTATAGAGATATGATTGGTTAAAGGACTACACGTGATGACTATGTATATTTGATATAGGGTGTCCTAAAAATATAGGGTTAGTTACCATACATGGTTAGTTACCATATGGGGTTAGTAAGGAGTTACTTCCCTTTCAAAACAAAAAAGATGCCACAACCCTTTATAAAAACAACACGGTGTTGAGGAAAAATCTGAAAGGATTCAACAGACGAAGAAATTGATGATGAAAGGTTGAAATAAGTTCATAAAACATAATTTAAGCTAACAAGTTGATATTGTTGGCATAACGGAGTTACTTCCCTTTCAAAACAAAAACAAAAAGAAATTTGAAAGGATTCAACAGACGAAGAAATTGATACATGTAATGAACGATTCAAATAAATTCATAAAACAAATTTAAAGCTAAAAAGTTGTTATTGTTGGCATTTTTTACTATATAGACAAATAGAAGTAGGATTTTAATACTAAGTATTAAAGACTTGATCACTTTGATAGGCCGCTAGTCAAAATACCACATGTGATGATAGTCGGTAAGATAAATTCGTTACACGGTGTGCTAGTGACCTAATACGATATATATGGGGTCAGTAAATTCCATATATATCGTATTAGGTCAATTCATGCAATAATACAGCTTATGGTTAGTTTATTATTATAGATTTATTTTAAATCGAATAAAGAGAAAATCAAATTCTCAGCGGTTGTTAAGAGGGATGTGTCTGTGGTCTTTTACTACTCAAATATGATTCCATTTGTGCGGTTGTTTAAGTGCACAACGGACCCTTCATGAGATAAATGTGTGTTTTGCTTTACGTTAAATTGGGAGTTACATTGTGGTGCAATTGGTAAAATCATATCGAGCTTGCTTCCATTATCTTCCTGCATCTTTATTAACTGTAATGTTTTACGCACGATAATCAATTTAAGCGTATTCAACAAACGCTGTCAAATCAAGTGTAAGTTAGTACAAATTACATAAACGGTACTAATTTTACTGCACCAATGCGCATTTCAACAATCAATGTCTCTTCAGTGATGCCCGTGGACAAAATATTTGAAAATCCAAAACCTTATACTAGTATGCATAGCCAAATCAGGCAAATAAATGAGAACTGTGCATGAGGGGATATATTCCATAATTAAAAAGAATTTCAAAATTTTATAATCAAATTAAAACAGTATTCATATTTTAATGTACCAAAGTTCTGGCCACGGGGCTTGTGGTGCCCTCGAGACTAATAGTTCACAAGCAGAGAAATCGACTAAATGGTAGATTGAGTAATAACATAAACAGTACCAATTTTACTTCATTAAATGCGCATTTTGACAATTAATGTCTCATCAGTGATGCTCGAGGCCAAAATATTTGAAATTTAAAAAAGAAGATGTTTTATGATTGCCAATGAGACAACTCTTCACAAGAGACCAAATGACACAGAAATTAACAACTATAGGTCACAGTACGGCCTTCAACAATGAGCAAAACCATACCGCATAGTCAGCTATAAAAGGCCCCGAAATTATGGCAAGCCGTTTTACTATTTATTCTAACTTCAAGATATCTCATAAACTTTATAAGATATCTTATATAGTTTATAAGATATCTTATATAGATTATGAGATATCTTATATAGTTTCTAAGATATCTTATATAATTTTCTTTATAAGATATCTTATAAATTATATGAGGTATCTTATTAAACTGTATGAAATATCTTATAAACTATATGAGATATCTAATAAAGTATATAAGATATCTTATATAAAAAATGTTTATAAGATATCTTATCAACATTAGGAGATTATATTAGATATCTTATATATTATAGGAGATATCTCATATAGCATATAAGATATCTTATATAGTTTATACGATATCTTATATAGTTTATAAGATATCTTCTATAGTTTATAAGATATCTCATATAATTTATAAGATATCTTATATAATTTTCTTTATAATATATCTCAAAAATTAAATGAAATATCTTATAAAATATATAATATTAGTCACATGGTGTGTTAGTGACCTAATACGATATATATGGGGTCAGTAAATTACATATGGGGTGAGAGCGAAGCTATCTTATAAAGTTTATGAGATATCTTGAAGTTAGAATAAATAGTAAAACGGCTTGCCATAATTTCAGGACCTTTTATAGCTGACTATGCGGTATGGTTTTGCTCATTGTTGAAGGCCGTACTGTGACCTATAGTTGTTAATTTCTGTGTCATTTGGTCTCTTGTGAAGAGTTGTCTCATTGGCAATCATAAAACATCTTCTTTTTTAAATTTCAAATATTTTGGCCTCGAGCATCACTGATGAGACATTAATTGTCAAAATGCGCATTTAATGAAGTAAAATTGGTACTGTTTATGTTATTACTCAATCTACCATTTAGTCGATTTCTCTGCTTGTGAACTATTAGTCTCGAGGGCACCACAAGCCCCGTGGCCAGAACTTTGGTACATTAAAATAAGAATACTGTTTTAATTTGATTATAAAATTTTGAAATTCTTTTTAATTATGGAATATATCCCCTCATGCACAGTTCTCATTTATTTGCCTGATTTGGCTATGCATACTAGTATAAGGTTTTGGATTTTCAAATATTTTGTCCACGGGCATCACTGAAGAGACATTGATTGTTGAAATGCGCATTGGTGCAGTAAAATTAGTACCGTTTATGTAATTTGTACTAACTTACACTTGATTTGACAGCGTTTGTTGAATACGCTTAAATTGATTATCGTGCGTAAAACATTACAGTTAATAAAGATGCAGGAAGATAATGGAAGCAAGCTCGATATGATTTTACCAATTGCACCACAATGTAACTCCCAATTTAACGTAAAGCAAAACACACATTTATCTCATGAAGGGTCCGTTGTGCACTTAAACAACCGCACAAATGGAATCATATTTGAGTAGTAAAAGACCACAGACACATCCCTCTTAACAACCGCTGAGAATTTGATTTTCTCTTTATTCGATTTAAAATAAATCTATAATAATAAACTAACCATAAGCTGTATTATTGCATTGACGTTAGATAACTCGGGTCGATATCAAGCGATGTCATATTCTTTCGATTTATTTTATTATCTCTCTGATGCAGTCGGACACAGTTTGGATTCCTAGTCAAAGCCCAGTTATAATAGATCGACATATTAGCATAAGACCTTTGGCAACATTGACTATACAGGCAGGAGTTTCTG